TCCTGCCCTGAAAAACCCAAATTCTTACGTCCACCTAGATGATACTTTGGTTTTGTATCCCATTTCATACAGTCTTGCCCCAAATTATTTGAGTCTTTATACCTAGTCCCCATTCCTCAACGCTTTTTGTATCTTACTGTCTTGGGTTCTTTTGATTCTCATCCCCATCCCTCTGGGAGTGGGGGGAGGAAGGAGGAGAGGGAGTGAGCGAGATGCTACATGGCTCTGAGTTACCAACTAGGCTTAAACCAGGGCACTTTCAAAAGGCAGAAATTATTTAGTCTAAACCTTAGAGTATTTTATTACCAATTCCTGTCAATTTAGACTTTTTTTGACATTAAATTTGACTAAAACAGATTCATTCTCTCCAACATAGAACTGAAAGTGGCTTGTATTAAGCTTCCTGCCGGTGTAACTTAGAAACACACTTTCAGATATATTTTTTCTGTTATTAAATATGAGATATTAATCTATACTTAAAATACCATATTTAAAAGATCATTCCTGGACAGTCTTTCCCAAATGAGTTGTCCAGGAAGTAAGTGGTGATGTATTATTTTCTTAGTCACATGTGATTGGCTTGTGAAAATCTTGATAACATGAAGCTAGTGCCACCTTCTTCTGTACACTCCAGAACCAACATTATTCATATACAGAACAGAGTTTTAAATTCCTTTTGTGAATGTAGAATTGCAAATAAAAAGTCCTCAAATGTCAGCATGAGGAAGAAAATGTGTGTAGCCATTAATGACTGTGTGCCAGTGATGTAGCGGAACACTATTGAAAAGTAGGAATAGTTTAACGTAGCATTTCATTGTCAGGTTTCTTTGGCAAGAGGTGAGGTCAGCAGAGATAAAAACAATATAATTGACTTCTGATAAAATTCCCCCACCCCCCCGGCAGTGAAAGGACTTCTGATAAAATTCCCCTCTTTCTTTGTAAGGAAATAGGAAATAAAAGGTGAGGCTGGAATTTCAACTGTAGGTGCTCAGCATACAACCTCTTAAAAGTAACAGTGGTGACTGTTGGAGAAATGTAGTTTAATCTCTCCAGGAATAAGTTCTAATCAACAAAATGAAAATTCCTCATGGGAAGAACCCATGCTGAGATGTGCAAATTAATTCAGTGTAGTTTATTTTTATTTTGTCTGGGGTCAGAGAAAGTGAGCGAATTTTAGATGCTGAAGCCCAGGTATTTAGCATGATGCTAACATCATGCACTCCTCCTTTGAATGAGTCTAGGGTCAGGTGGGAAGCAAAAGTTACATCATGTACAGAAATATACATGTCAAAAGAGGTAGGATTAGTCTCACATGACACTTCATTGATTCCCTTTGAGTAGATTACCCTGAGCATTCCTTTCTGGCACGTGCAGCCAACTGTCTCCTTTCATGTTGAAAGATTAATTTTCGCAACCAAAGTGGTTAAGCTGAACCTTCAGTCTTTCCCAGAATTGATTTTGTGGGGTGCTATTCCTGGTTCCCATTCATTACATTATATAACATGCCTTTACTGGTCCAGTTCATGTAGAAAGTATCACCTAGTACAAAAGGAAAAAGGGTTTAAGGGCCAGGGCTTAAAAAGAAAGAAAACACAATAATTTGGATAGAAAAGAAACAGCACAAATAATACTCTTTCTGACAGCCAAGAATCATGATAGAAGCACAGAGCAGTGCAAGGTGAGAAGTAAGAGAGGATGGCTTCTTCCCACACTTGGTAAACCAGCTGTGTGTGCAGCTGTCAGGGTACCTAACAGGAGAAGATGCTACATAACTGTTGCACCTATTCATGTTTGGAGAAACAGAGGAAATATGAAGGGATGACACCTAATCAGAGAATCTATCTAGCATTTCCTCACACCTAATAATATCTAAACATCTCCAAATTCTCTCCAGTTTTCTTTTCTTCTATCTTCCTGTTAGGTGGCCAGTTTCCTCTTGCAGATTGCTAATTTCCTTTCACATGATTTTTCGCTGCTGTACAAATATTAAGGAAAAAAAAAAAACTAAAACTTTAGTACTAAAAACACTGGGGAACTGCTTTCTCGCAAATTCTGTTGTGCCATATTATTGGTTGAATTGAAGTACCTACTCAAATTTTAGTTGGATGTTTTCTAGCACTTAAGATTTCTATCTCAGGATAATTCTTGTCATCATTTCTTCCAAAATTAGATTATTTTGAAATTAATTCAGGATGTGTGTAATAGTCCTCTTATGCTTTACAAGTTGAAATGAACTTTTATACCAATAGCTCCAAATAGGCTTACCAGCCTGTGTAGAACCTACTTCCCAGCTGGACATTTGCACATGAAACTAACATGTAAAGAAACATACTTCATCACTTCTGCTTTCCATGGCACCTTAATAGCAGATCTCTCAGTATCACCTCTTTAGACAGAGACTGAAACTTGAATCTTCACTCTGTCAGAGGGACATGCAGAATTAGTTGTCTACAAGTGGCTTTCAAATCTATTTTTTCCCATGCTGACTGCTTTATGAAGTCGAATTTGGATTGCACTGCCTTTTCTCTGCTTCATACCCTTCCCATCTTTTCCTATTTCCTTTTATCCATACTTACCTTTCTGTTTTCTGTAACAAGATACAGTCCTAAACTTAAAATTTAAAAAGTGTACTAGTTACCACAGCCTTGCCAGAAATTAGTAGACTATTTCATCCCTACACATATGCAAATATTCACCTAGCTGCCTCAGGGGTTGTGGTTCCTGGCAGAAAGAGCTACTGAATTGATCAAACTGATAAATGTTGCTTCATGCTGCAAGCTAAGAGGATGCTACAAATTTTCTTACACTGTTTTTTAAATAAAACTTCATAATTTGATTTCTTTAGAGAGCAATAAAGAAATATAAAAAGGGTAATTTTCTTCTAATACTCTTTTTGAGACTTACGGAAATGGTAGTATATTTAAAGATATGTTTAAGGGGATTATTTACGTCTAGGTGTTTTTCCTCAGTGTCAGATGCCTTGTTTACTGAGAAAGCATTTAAGAAAATCTGTAAGTTGAAAGAGGAGAGAAAAGCAGAGGAAATCCATGTCATCTCTGCGGTTGTAATATTTGCAGGCTCTCAGGCTGGTCCTGTGTGTTTGTGTTAAGGTACTCACCCAGTTTCTGTTCTTCAAAACTGACTCGAGTCTTCATTTTCTTTCCTTACTGCTGACTTGATTAGGTTTTAAGATGTGGCTTTGTATGTTGTAAACCACTCTACTAGTTAAAAACCCATGCCTGCTTTCTCTCCCTTGAGGCTTTGTGCCTACTATAACCGCAAGCAAAATTCAAATTCCATGCAAAGGCTCTATTAGGAAGATGGTGTTGGCAGAGATTAGAAAGAAGTCCTTACCCTTTGAGGGTGCTGAGGCTCTGACACAGGTTGCCCAGAGAAGCTGTGGTTGCCCCATCCCTGGCAGTGTTCAAGGCCAGGTTGAACAGGTCTTGGAGCAACCTCATCTAGTAGGTGTCCCTTCCTGTGGCGGGGGGGGGTGGAACTTGTTGAGGATTAAGGTCCCTTCCAAACCAAACCATTCTATGATTCCATGGTTCTATTTGCTTCTTGCAAATATCTTGATATTTTTAGTTGCACATTAGTTGTATAATTTGTATTTTAGAGTTTTAAAACTCGGCATCTGATATCAGTGCTTTCCAAGCAAGAGTAGAATAAAGGAGGTTATACTGGTTACTGGAAACAGTGATGTGCTGTTACAGGAGAACATGAGATAAGCTTTATTTCAAACCTGATTGATAAGTGATAGTGACCCTCTCCCTCTGATCCACACAAAACTTCTTCTAAATGTATACACACAAGTGTTTATATCAAAGAGTGTACGTGGCTGTTGTGTGACCAAAGCAGGGATTGCAATGAATAGAGCAGAAACATTAGAATTTTTATTACTAATGCTTAAAAGTTAATATTTACTGCAAAAAGGTTTTGTAGGTGGGTGTTCAGACAGATTCCTTATAGAGCAAAGGGGAAGAAAGATAAAATTAACATCCACCTTGCATTCACAAATGTCTTTCTATGCAGATTCACTGTGAAGCTTGGTGCCCAGCCCCCTTTCCTTTGCTTCAGAATGTTGATTTGGTGGGAAGTAAAAATACCTTCTGATGTGAATTCTCTAAACCATGATTCACTAGCTGGTTTAGGGTTTGTTCCCCATTTGCTTGGCTGTTTGTGTTGGTTTACAGTAGGGAAGGGGGTTTTGTGTTGGTTTCATTTGTTTGTTTTATTTTGGGTTTTGGTTGTTTTCCCCTCCACAAAAACAAATACAAAATGAAACTAGTCATTAAAGCAAATTTGTTTCCTGGACTGGCAAGCTAGCAAGAGATCATGTTGGTCTAAAAATTCACAAGCACATGAAGGTAGTTCTAAGCGGATACACTGATAAGCTTCTGTTGTAGTACATCTTCATGTAATAGCCCCAAAGGAAATAATCTGCAGATGTCCTGTACTTTCAGGCCTCTGCAGACAATCAGTTCAGGTTGCCAAAGGCAGAGATGGGAGTGAGCTCCTTTCATAGAAAGGGGCCTCCTGATGTGTGCTAGAAGGAAGGTATATTTTATTTTATGTGGACCAGATGCAGTTAGGAAGTAAGGACAGTAAGACAGGATCTTTTGTTCTTTTAGAGTACAGAAATGAGATTTATACTTCCGTGTTTTCTGTTCTTAATGAATATAAAATAAACCCCACAAAACTATTAAAACATAGTCTAACTTTTCTTAGCAGAGAAAGTAAAGTTTATTTGACCATAGCATGCTATATATAAACAATTGATTTTTCAAGTTAAAAATGTTTTTTTTCCTTTTATAAATATGCTTATGAGATTTCATCTTTAGAAGCATTCAATAGGATTAATAGTATATTTTCTTTTCAATATTACATTGCTGAACTCTCAAAACACAGTATTCTATCAGAAAAGTTTACACGTTCAGCGAATTTTCACCTGTCCTGAATTTTCTGAGCTAACAAAACAACAACATAACACTAAAGTTGGTACTGTCCAAATATTGTGCTTCACAGCATAGAATATCTTACATACATTCTTTTTCTAAAATACACTCTCAGCATTTGATATTACAAAAAGAAATGAAATTAATGAGAAACAAATCAACCTTCATTAGAAATTGACACACAAAAAGAAAACATCATGCATGTGGAATATTAACTGCTGTTTTGAGGTGATTCTTCCCCTGTTTATTCTTGATTCTTAGCATTCCCTTACTTTCAAATAAAACATTAACATGCTCATATAAATGATATAGAACATTACACAGTGGATGTGTTGGGGTTTTTTCTTACCATCTTTCAACTGTACATGAGAGAAAGCTGGTAATCTTCAGCTGAGGTCAAAGATTGTCATATCAATATGATATAAAAGTTTAATTTTGTAAGTCATATTCAAAGAATGTACTTATATGATTGTTTTTAAAATGTAATGTGTGGTGATTATCTCAAAAATAGTCAAATTAGTTTAACACCTACTGACAGATGGTTAGTGGGCAAAGACAAATCCATGAATAACCTGATACCCTGATCAGCATTAAAATATCACATATCTATGCACTGTGAAAAAGATTGCAAATTATGTTAGCATTGTGTTTTGACAAAAGAGATCTCTTTCTGTTGGCACACAATAACATAAAGATACCTTAGGCCTAGTACTTCTTGCACCATTCAATTTAATATACTGCTAAAAATGGATATTCTGTTACAGTACTAACAGTGCCAGGAGGTTGAATAGCAACCAGATTCTATGTTTCTCTGATATGTTTTTAAAGTTAATTTAGTAATTTAATTTCTTAAAATAGAAATGAAGTTACTTCTGCAGAGAATATTCTGCTGCCAGTGATACTGATGGGCAAATATTTCCTTCTGTGCAGTTCTTGGTGGAAGGTTTTTCTCTGTTATTCATTTTCATTTACATAAAGTATAAAAAGCTCTTTTTATCAGCATTATCATAACTGCCACCATAGAAAAGGAAAAAGTTTATGAAATCTTATACACCCTTTTATGACTTTACTATTGCAGTTTATAAATAACAGATACACTTTTGTAACAAACCTGAACCATTTAAACATATTTTTGATTTTTTTTTTATGTATTAGGCATAATAAAATAATTCAGTTATGCAAAATTCTCTGATTTCTGTAATGTGGGAAGACACTTCTGTGCTCTAATAGCATAATGGCTCAGAGATAAGTTTTCTCTGTCATGGAGGGCTGCTGAGATGTATATAGTCTGTACTGCGTTTTGGAATGTTTCTTATCTTCCTGACTTCACAAAACTCCACTCAGTTTAGTTTCACAATATTTATAGTCTTCAAGGCAACTTCACAACAACAACACATGCTCCAGCCCTTCCAATATTGACAGGAACTTCCTAAAAAATAAAAAAAAAAAAAAAGGAAAAAGAATAAAAACCCAAAACATTTTTAGTTACTCCTATGGATAGGACTAGAAAGAATTATTTGCAGATTAAAAGTAAATCAATTTGTTTATTCAAATTACTGTACTGAAAGAAAAACCACCCTATATAAGATTGAACCAGAGATCTAAAAACACAGTTTGGGCTTTTGGGGAAAGGCTTTAGCAGCCTCTCAGAGTTAGAGGAGTGTAGGCTAGTGGTGTTGCTCTTAACTTCTGTAGAAGACCCTTGTATCCTGTGTTCTGAAACCACAAACTGTGTAGCCACAAAAGCACCTCAACAGTTAGAAATATTTCCTCTTGGTCTCAGTGGTGGTGGCCATAAACATAAAAACTTGGAAGTGTCTCCAGCAGAGGGCATTGCCCACAAACACATGACAGGCCCAACGGCTGTAAATTCAAGCACAAATGATTTGTGCAGCGTGGATCACAAGCCCGTGTACTGCTTCCACCCTTTAATCTGAAAAATCTCACACTGTTATTTCACAGAAGAGGCAACCAATGTTTTATGAAGCTCAACTACACTATTACTGCATCCTAATATAACATTTTTCACAAAACCAGTGATAATTTTGCAACTTTTTTTTTTTTATTTTGGTCCACTATTTGGACAGAATTCTTCCCATCTGTGGGAAAAATTCTTATTATTTCTTAAACAGTTCTTCCTGTTACCTCTGTCCACTCATTATTTTGAGCATCATAGGACTCCACGGTATCCAGGTACGTATGTCCGTCATAGCCCCCAACAGCATATAATCTGTCCCCCAGAGGACAAATTCCAACAGCATCCCGAGGTACACTCAAGGGGGCCACTGTTGTCCAAGCATCTGTTTTAGGATCATACCTAGGATGTTTTATAATAAAATTTAGAAAAATACATTGTAGAAACACATTTCAAATTTAAATGATTGATATTTGCTTACTTTCTGCTACACTGTAGTTCAGTTTACACCATGAGCTAATATATAGATAATTGAGTGATGCAATTACATATCTTGCCACCAGAGGGGTCTTCAAGCACATGAAAAATGCTCATATTTTCACTTTGTGATTACAGCCTCTTCACTTCTATCAGATTAAAGAATCAGTAAATTTTCAATATAAATGAGGCCTGAGAGGATGATAACATGGCCATCTGTTGACTCAGCAAAGCTAATTTTAATATATTCTTTTTCTTACTCCTTAAAGATTTCTGTTTTCTCTTTGCATCAATGTTGATTTTATTTCTGATTTGTATTCACTCAACTTCCACTGTAAGTTCAAGTGAATTCCAGGATAGCTCCAGGTTTACACTATGTGACTGGGAACAGAACTGAGCTATTGTTATCACAACAAGGAGTACTTGCTTCTTGTTTGCCTTTCTTGTCCCCAAGTGACAGTAGTGTCAATGGATAGGCATTGACCTTTTGGTCAATATCACTTGGAGGAAGAAAGAACTGAAAAGTACTTAGTTCTTACAATATATGATGCAAGTAACCCAAGCCTGGGTTTTGGCACTTGAGAAACAGAAAGGTCAGGTGTTGTATTTGTCTTACTTGTTGAGCTGTCTTTACCTAGCTCCTGGGCAGCTCAAATAGAAGGAGGAGCTGGGGAGAATTTGTTTCTGAGGCGTTTTTGTTACTACAAGTAGATTGGAAGTGAGTTACTGTGTTCAAAATATTATTTTAGAAAGCATAATATGTTTTGCAGACATAACATTCCACTTGTGAAAAGATTTCCTTTGCTGCTATAAGTTATTTAATATTTCCTTCCTGGAATATATTTAAAAAAAAGGAAAAATAAAAGAATTCCTTACCTTTCTACGCAGTCGGAAAGTCGAGAGCAGTGGTTGGAAGCAGGTGCATCATGACCTCCCACAGCGTATAAAAAACCATTGTATGTTGCAACACCAACACCGCCTCTTCTCTTAGACATGGAAGCACATATGCTCCACTTGTTTGTGTGTGGATCAAAACATTCCATTGATTTCAAGCAGGAGCTTCCATCTCGTCCACCGACAGCATATAGTCTGGGATTATTACCCACAAGAAGACAAACAATTTCAGTCTCTAGGCTCGTATTTTAATAGAAATTTTATGTGGTTAACTTCATTCAAATCACTTTAAAATGATCTTTAGGCCTGTTATTTGCTATATGACTAGGCTCTGGAACTTTCTTTGCACAAAGTGTTTTGTAGTTAGTTGAAGGAAGGTTTATTCTTCATTTGCAGTGTAAATTTTCAAGCAGTCTTATTTGAAAATTAAGCTTTAAAATGAATATCAGCTTCTTTAAGTGTGAGCTATATATGGAGTTTGATAGATGCTACATATGTTTTAAATATATGGGTAGTACTCCATGTAACAGGCTTATGGAGTATTTGACATCTTAAGTTTTGCATTAAGCATTTTTCTTATATGTTATATGTAAAAGAACTTCAATAATACCATTATATAACAAAAACATATATCAAAAATGTACTAAATATCGTTTCCTCGTTGTATTTAAGATCTGCTGGACAGATGTTACCATACAGGTAACTTGTCTGCTCATCCTAAAGGTACTCAGCAAATGACCAAAAATGGAGATTTAAACCAGCTGATGTTGGGACAATATGTAAGAATAAGTGGTAGAAATCCACATTAAGAAGCATGAGAATTCTGTGGCTTTTTGTCATGGCATTTTAAAAAGGCTGAATTTCTTTTGTGTTTCAAGCTAACTTGTACGTTGCTAGCCTAATGTTAGTATGCATACGGGATTTAAAAATAGCAGAGATGTTTAGGTGTTGAGTGTGCCAGTTGTTCTGGTCTGTTTCAAACTTGGCTAACACTGCCATGAAATTGAATTTACTTAGTACATGTAATTAGAGACCTAGGGAACATGTGGACTTGTCCAAAATCACCTAAAACAAATCAGTTGAATTTGTTTCAGAAGTGCCTGTTTTTCTCCAGCATCTGGAGAAACTTTCAGACTTCTCTGGTGTGTAATTTAACCAGAAGATTCTTGACCACTCTTAGAATAATACAAAGTTTCTAGCACTCTCTTCTAATGTTTGTGAATGGAAGACAGACTTGAGTTCAGTTGTGGAGTTTGTTGCCTGACCCATAAAACACTTGAGGATTTGATTGTTTTCTTTTCACATCATGCCATTAGATACAGACTACTTGTTTACACAGCTTTCCCCGGGAGAGGAAATCACTGTATATACAAACAGATTGGTTGGGATCTTTTGTTCTCTGTAACATGTCTAGAAACGTGGTTGTGTGTCCCGTTCTCTAAGGAAAAGAATTAAGAAAGTGCTCAAAAAATGGTGTTCCATGGAAACTTAAAAGTCTTTTCTGGTTGGGTTTAAATATTCAGTGTGGCTTAGGGAAATAGGAAAAGGAGAAGCATTCTGTTTGGTTAGACCATAGCAGTAGCACTGAATGATGGACATTTTGATCTTGGCTCCCCGTGGTATGCCACCAATTACATCAGTAGACTAACAGACATGATTTAAGCCAGGCTGGAGACAGCTTGTATCAGGAGTGATTGAGAGCAGAGTCAGGATCAGGCTGGATTTCCTCTTTGACAAAGTGGTTTCCTGCATGTTTCTGTGGAAGGTACCAGCAGGAGTTTCTGGTGAAGTTTATGCTGAGAACATTTCCTCTGAGATATAAAGAGGCTTGAACATGCACTTCTTTCTTTCTTGGGCTTTTGAGTTAATGATTAAAATTGTGTTGTGTTGGAATGCAAAACCCTGACTTGTGTGTGAAGAAGTTTTTGCATTTGCAAATACTGGTTTCCTGACATCTTTGTTTCTGTTCCATATTCTTGTCTTCCTCTGGAATTTAAGAAGTAAACAGGGAAGCCAGTGATAAAATTTCAGTATAAATGCAGTAGTCTGCCTTCAACTGTAATATTCCAGGCCTCTACAAATTGTCATTGCTTCCCACAGATTTAAGAAGGAAGGTTGGCTGAAGCCATGCTCTCCAACAGAACCTAGGGCCTGTTACAAGGGTATTTTCTATTTCTAGTGCCAGACTCTGGTGCTGAAGAAGGAAAACAGAATTCTGTTTGGCATTACTTTAGGAATTATTCTTCCTATTTTCTAATAGTAACATACAATGTGTAACACACTGTTAACAGCAGGTTACACAGTAGATTCATACATGTGTCTGTTCTCATGTAAAAGTGTTTGAATGACTTAGGAGTGTCTTAGGAGGATGTTTAAATATGTTTTGAAAATCACTGTAAACCAATGTACAGTGAGCACATGATCTCAGTGTATTTAAGCAATAGATAAAGTGCAGAATAAATCTGGGTAGGGGTAAGACTTATAGGAGGCTGTTTATTCCATACCTAATTATGGAACTTGTTTTCCTTTCATTAAACGCAGCATACACTTTTAAACATTGAAAAATTATTCACGATTGTGAATTTGTATGTTGAAGATGTAGCTGGGTGGAGGAGGTGTAAAATAACAGAGGAATGACTTTGTGTGTATTCTTTTAAATGGTGTGCCCTTAGAAACTGTGATTTTAAAGTATAAATATAAACTTGGAGTATTTTTTTTAAGTAGCCAATCTTTTATCCCACAAGTTATATTCTAGGTTAAAATCTGTTACGCATGTAATAACACTTTCAAATTGCTGTAACTTAAAAGGGCTGAAATATGTTTAGAACATGACTGTAAGCTTGAAAATAATTTACCACGCAGCAGAGAAAAAGCTTTCCTTTCTTGTTTTTGTGCATTATATTTTCTCTTTGTTTTCTCGAGGTGATTAATTACTATCAGATTGGGAAGAAAATTTAAGAAACTATATTTGCAAGGAAGGAAGCAAATGAAAAACCAAAGAGCAGTTTTCCTGTTGACATACTTGCTATTTAATGCTGCAACCCCTACGGTGCTTCTAGGGGTTGACATGCTTGCAACATAATTCCATTGCCGTGCTTGTGGATCCCATCTTTCCACGGTATTAAGGTAACTCCATCCATCATGGCCACCAACAGCATACATTGGTCCTTCAAGCATTGCTACTCCTTAAAAGATAGAATTAGGCACAAATTACAGTATCTAATAATTTCAGTGACCAGTAGTGTATTAACTTCATACTTTAATTCTGCATATGTAGATAAGCAATTTCAGCTGGTATTAATCTATCTAAAAGCTACCTTGTCATTTAGCAGAATAAACAAAGATAAACAAAATACTTCATATGCAATGTTCTGAATAAGCATCATCATCCAAAAGATTAGAGGAAAGCTGCTTAATTCTGATGTTCTCTTCTTGGACTTTTATCTCTTCGACTTTTCCTGACCTTGTTCTGAAATGAATTTGAGCCCCTAAATGAGAAACATTACTATTCTTTTCAAAAAAGGCAAAGGTTGAGCCATGCAAGGAAAAATACGCTGAAATCAATGACCTGTCCTTACTCTGAGCCAGCCGAAGCTCTGTAGTCTGGCCAGCATGAAGCCTGAGTGGGTGGGTAGCTGGCTGTCCTTACCAGCTAAGTACCATAGCATTTTAATGCCTGTAAGGGGAACACACTTTTGGATGAGAGCTGGCTTGCATCTGTTGTCCTTGAGGCCCAGGAGAGTGAACTTGGCTGTCTCTGCAAAGCTCTGTGTGGAGATACCCTTCTTTGGAGAGAAGGGCTTAGGTGCTTCCCCTTTGGGAAGCTGCTGCTGCTGTTTGCTTCCTTTGTGGGTAAGGCAAAATATTCGAATCTGTCTGCTTAGAAGTTTTCCAAGTCTGTCTTTTCAGGGCTAAATACACATTTTTTTACAAAAGTGCTAAGTCTCCACAAAATCACACTGAAGCTAATAGGAGCTGTAAGTGTAAGAGGCAGTATTGCAAACCAGGCTGATGCACGCACAGAAGCCTAACTTTGGGCACTAAAATTTACTGTTGTGACCTACTCATTGCGTAGAATTATGCCCCTGCAGTTGGTAATTATAAAGACTTCAATGAGAAGTATTTAATCTGTTTTGTCATCTTTTCCTTTGCTACCTACTAGTATGTGTTTTATAAGTTTGACACACTAGCTGGTAAGAACCCCTCACCATGTATTCTTCACCAGCAGAGAAGGTGATACAGGCCACAGGTTTAGCAAATACTTCTGGATCAATGTTTTTCTGTTACTCAAATAAAAATATTCTCAGTCATTTGAACTTACTGACGATTTCAAGCAGTACCTGTTTCTGTAAACTTAAGAAAGACAGCTTTTTCATAAGAACTGTTATAATATAAATCTTTCAAAAATAATCATATTCCTTCCTTTAGAGTCTCCTTAACTGTAAACTTATCCTTATTTTTAATACTTCCAGAAGTTAATTCTAGATTTCATATTCATATTATTCATTCACTGTAAATAATGTTAAAGAATGTTGTGCAGAAAAGAGCCACAGATACCAAGCCACGGCAGAGCTCTGTAAAACTTCTTGTAGTTACAGCGTTAAAATTACTGAAGTTGTACTTATTTCCTTACCCTAGTGTTTTCTGCAGTGTGGTTAGCTCTCTGATAGGATTTTCACAGGTGTTTGGTACCTATGGCCTTAAGTTATAGTTTAAAAAATACTTAAATTGGGCTGTTTCTGTATCACAGGCATCTCTCTAGACTGTTAAATTGGGTGAAGAGTTCATTGTTTTCACTGTTGCTTATTTTTTGTAACTTTCTAAAGGTGAAATTAACTTTGGAAGACCAGTGCAATAGCGGAAAGGGGAATACTAATAAATATCACTGTCATTAAATCATGGCAATAGGCAGCTCTGTCTTTGAAAAATAACTTTTACAAATATGTCCACGTTACTAAATGCTAAAAAAAAAAAATAAAATAAAATAAAATGCCAGTGGTGTTTGCATCAACCAAAACTGATTTGTGTGTGGTGCAAAGTATTTACAAAGAAAGAGCACCTCTTACCTAGGCCATGTCTGTGTGTTGACATAGGAGGCATTATAGTCCAGACTTTGGTGATAGGGTTGAAACATTCCACAATGTTAGATGTTTTCAGACCATCTCTTCCCCCCACAATGTACAGCTTGTTGTCAATTACTGCAACTCCAAACTGTAACCGTCTACCGTTCATAGTACCAATTTGTATCCAGCTGTTAGTCCTAAGGTCATATTTTTCAATTGTAGTGGTACCTGTAAGAAACATAAGCGTTATGAGACAGCCATGAGTTGATCAGTACCCAGCAGTCAGTGGTCAGCACACCGCAAAACATTATTAAATTATAACGTTGAAATTCTGTGCGTGGACTTTTACAGTGGCTCCCCAAGAACTTCAGTTGTGAAATGTGAACCCTAGTGAGCAAGCTGCATTAATTACATGCATATGTGATCGTCAAATCTATGAGAGTTAACTGGAGGCAAGAAGATGCAGAATTACATGCCAGCAGATTTTTTAATACTGAAGTTTTAGACATAGGTTAAACCTGTTACTTAAATACCATATAGGTAGTTGTGGCTTTTTAAATATTCCTTATGAATACAGTATCTCACAACTATGTACTCTTTAAACATGTTTATGCTGAAACCATTAGTGATACCAGAAATGCAAAATATATTCATGTGTCTGTATTTCTTATGACTTGGGCACGCATCCTCATGAATAGCTTGGATATTTCCTTTTTATGGTAGGAACAAGCAGTAGACTATTGTGTGTACACATTTGGTTCCCACAGGTAGCTTCACAGAGGTTCACCTTTGCAGCAGCCTTGCAGTAACTGCTTGTCTAATGTAACTTATAATTGTATTTTCATTTTTTTTTCAGGTCACTGAAATTATAGTAATGTTTTTGCTGCAATTATTCATAAGGGCCATGCTCTCTGGGCATTCAAAACGGCCAGTTTTCTACGCCCTGGCTCCTGACAGTCACTCAGCAGATGTAATTGCTCCTTTGAGAGCTGGTTTAGCACAGTGGGGAGATGGCTGAGTAGCAACCAAGGTAGAAGAGGCAATTGCAGTTGTACATACAGTGCACCCCAGAGTTCAGCTTCAGCTCAGGTGAAGATGAGAAAAACAGAGCTGATTTCCTGTCTGTTCCTTGTCTGGGATTTGACACTAGAGAAACAGTATTTTGAGAATTACAATAGGTAGGTAGTGGCTGAGGAATTATTTACAACAGCAAAACAACCATCAATAAAGAAGAAAAGAAAGGTGTCATTTGGTTTAGGGAGCTCCTAGAGATGGTATGATATATGCAAGTAATTTAGTGAAGTAAGAGCCTATTTCAGGATATGTTTTCTCTCATCTGTATGCTTTTCCAGATGCATAGACTAGGAAAGAAACTTCCAGATCCATCTGCAATAAAAGAAAGTCTACTTTTTTCCCCTTTCTTGTCCTCTTTTAGTTTGAGTAACTGGATTTGACTGTTCTTCCCACTTTGTTAGTCTCTTTGCTCCTTGCTTTGATTCCTTCTCATTTATTCTATGCTCATATGGGAGTACCCCAAACTTCTTTGCTTCAAAAGAAATTACTTGCACACTAACTAAAAGACAGGAAAAATACATTAAGGTATACAGTGTGTTCATGCATAGCCTGTAGGCTGCAATTTTTACAGAGGCTGGAAGGTAGCTTTTGAAAGTTAAATGTGGTTTAGGCACATTCACGTTTTTCAAAATACCAGCTGAAAGTAGCTCTTTGATCTTCTTTTGATCATTTGAAGTTGAGATTTGACTTCATATACCACCTGAGATATGCACAAAGCCAAACCTGGCATTCACTGAGAGTTTTCTTTATCACAGAAAGCATATTATTGCCAGGGGAGGTTGTTGCTCCCTTCTCAGAATCGTTCTTTCAGTGAATCATATTTTTTTTAGGTGAAGTTTCCTTTATCTTACAATCCAGCACAAGCTCAAAGTATGAGTCAGAGCTGTAGAGGACAGCAGGGAGGAGAGGAAGTGCTGTTCTTCTTAACCATCAAAAGGCAAAAGTTCAAACAGTTGGCTTTGTTCCAAGGTAATAAGTAAAAGAGGCACCAACAGGAAGTGCAGATGTTGACTGAAATAGCCCTTTCTTTGCATAACCTTTACTGAGAAAAAACCTTTTAGAAAGATTTATTTTTATTTTGGTAGAAGTTGGTTTAAAGACCTTCAATCCTTGGTTTAAAGATGACCTTCAATCCTTGGTTGTTTGCTATAATTCATAAATAGTATCTTAAATGGAACTATACTAATTGCTATGGTTTAACTTCATTTTGCTGAATTATTTGAGGAATGAATGTTTTCATGTTGTGATGGTGATGAACTTGTATTGTGCACCTGACTTGATTGCACAGAGACAGTAAGGTAGCACTGCAAGACCTCTCATACAGGAAAAATCAGTCATCAGCAACTTTTTGCCAACCATGAAATGCATTAGCTTCCTTGTATTTCTACCCACACAGCTAAAAGTACTACTGTTCAGCAAGTTGCTAGACTTTAAAGTAATTATAGTTCTTTCGCTCCAAGCTGTGGGTTTGAAGTTAAGAAAATGATCTAATATACAGCTTACTGAATAGAATGGTGTAATATGTAAAGCCCTAAGCTGATTGCAGCTGTGAAAATCAAATAATAAAAACTGGAATACCTTTATAACACTGAACTTTCAACCACAAACCTGAATAAAACCTGTGTATGAAGTCCTGAAAAAAAGTTGTACATACTGTTGCACTTATGGTAAAGTACAGATCTTTCCAGCTGAAATTTTATAGTAAGGATTGATAAGATTGATAAGTGTTCTTTATAGGACAGTAATGCTTTCTGGGTTTATTTTTATTTCTTTCAAAATTTTTCCAGCTTTCTGACTTTATCAAAAAATGGAGCATAGGGTTCTAAGCCAACGTTAAATGCGTCTGAAATTATTCTGAATATAATTTTTTTATTATGAAGTGTAAAGTCAAACTATACTCACAAATTCTTACAAAACTTGGTTTTAAAATCACTATCTGAATCAAAATTCTTTAGTCTGCATTTCAAGATGCATGTACATCATTTAGAAACACACGATTTTTGCCAGAAGAAGAAACACCTAATACATAGGATTGTGTCTGTGTTTATATTTTTCTTCTTTTTCAACCCTTAATTGCTGTTTTCCTAACAAGTCTTTAAATAATTGTCATATATCATCTGGGTATCTGGAATACAATTCATTAATACAGTTAAATAAATACTGTGAAGTTAATCTCTGCGCTTACCTTTAGTGGCATCCATACCTCCTACAGCATAAAGTGCACCCACTGTAGATTTTCTAGGCTTAGTTCGAGGACTTTGCATCATGGACCGTCTCTCTGGTAGGAGGTGGTACTTCATAGCCTCCATAAGAAGCTTCTGACACTCTAAGTCGTCTGCAAACATTGGACTGTTTTCTAGATCAGCTAGTAACTGAGAAATGAAAAGTGATGATCTTCATATAGATACCTAAATCATTAAAATTGTAAGTACAATAGTAATTAAAATATTTGCAGCTACAAAACTCATTTTTGGTTCCCCTCTCACTCAAGCTTTGCTGGAAACTCTGCTTTAATGTAAGCAAAATAATATAAAGGTAGGCAAAAGACTTTATATATGAGTTGGTTTTTTTCCCAAAAACTTTCTTTTAGCATTTAGGGAAGATTAAAATTGCAAGTGTAGTAGTGCACCCTCTGAATGGAAAACTCCTTTTGATATGAGTATGAGAAAATCTAACAAAAAATACTGCATATCTCTGTGAATATCACAGTATGTTAAATATCTTTCAAATGTACATAGTATTTTGATACTTAATCCAAAACTGAGTATTTGCAGCTTCAGTCATGGTGACCCATAAAATAGCTGTAGCATCCTGAAAGTCTTGATACTCCTATAAGCTTTTCTGATGTGATACATAGATTCTCTACAATACAGATACAACAGTGCCAGCTGACTATAAAACAGTTGTGACTATCTCCGGAACTTATTTACTGAAGCATCTCTTTCAGTCTTAAAGGACAAGTAATGTCAATGCTTGCATCAGTCAGCAATAATCTAGAGCCTTTTACTTTTTCTGAGTTTTCTGGCAATACAGAAATAAGTATTGCGCCTTACCTATCCTGCAGTTTGATAAATGTGAATAAATATCTTTGCATAGCATCTATGTTGCTATTTTATTAGAGGAAAAATAAATACTGCAGTTGCTACCCCAAAAAATAAACCTATACTTTTGTAATACCTTTAGACTGACATTTTAGAGGCAGTTCTGAGCCTAGTATTTATGCTTGAATGGTGGGATTTTTTTCATCAATACAAACAATGCGTATCTTCCATGAAGTTGAAAAGAAGGGGGGACACACCACACAAAAAACCACCAAAACACTGCAGCCAAACCCACAGCCTTTTCACATAACTCTTTCTGACTAATGCTTGAGGCAACCATTTCTGCTGGTAGTTAAGCTCCTGTTAGCCCTTCACATTCATACCTGGGGGGAAAGTAGAGGCAGTCTAATGTAAGAAAGAAGCATTCCTAGGTCTCGTTGCCGGTTTTGCAAATCATGCCTCACCCACATCATTAATGCCTGGAATATGGCTTCTTCATCTGGAACATTGATGTCATCACTAGACAGCAGCTTTGCAATTTCATTAGCAGGGAGCAACAGAAATTCCTGGTTTTTTATTACTTCTGTGAAGTGGTCCTAAACAGTAAAAAAAAAATTGAGATTTCAATGCACTGATTATTTTCACACCTTGGAATAACTTTTTCTTGGATAATGTAGACTTTGCATATATTTTGTTCCTGTTCTCTCCCGCAGATACTGAAATGCATTATATATTCTAAAGACCACTGCATCTCGTTTGACCAATTAAAGGAAATGTTGGTTGCTCTTTGCTTCCTCACTCTTGTAGAACTGAACAGTAATGCTCATCTTCATCCTGCCACACTTAGCAATGTGCTTGCCTGGCTTCCTGTCAGTATGTCCTGTCTTAGGGGTTTCCCCCTGGCAGTTTTGTCGATCAGTGTAATCCTAACACTGAAGCTTAACAAAACCACAATTAGATTTAATGTGTACCCTAAGAATACCAAGGGGGGGTATTCAAATAAAATGTCTACCTTCTCTTACAATCTAAGCAAATTACATTGAAACCTTCCAGTCCTTTTGCAATGAGCAGTGCCAGGTGTTGACTGCATGTCTTCACTCGTATGAGAAGAAAGAAAATTAAAATCACTTTTCTGAAAGTACTTTTTAGGCAATAGAAAATTGAACCTGTCCCAGCAAAGGACTCACAGTCTTTAATTACTGTTGTAAAACTCACCAGCTCCAGAAATGGCAACAAGTATTAAATCCCTAGAATGTTTCAAAGAATATTTTCCATAAAAATAGTAGGTTGCACACTCAAGTTACAACTGTATTATAATTGATATTAAAGTACATCAAGTATCCTTGCTTGTGCTATCTCCAAAGGAAGAAAGAAATTTCGTTAAGAGAGTTGGGGGTTTTATGTTACATGCAGAGAAATACATGTGTAGGTATTAATGTCTGCATTTGAGATGTTAATTTATGTACCTGGAAGAAATATATCATATTTGGGAACCAGATTGGAATTGAACAGGTGGAGAGATTTTACTGTAGCTGATGTTTTTATTATTTATTTTCAGTTGTTTCTTAGCTTTGTGTAACTCTTTTCAAGAGTACCAAGGATATAGAAGTAAATATAGAAGTATCAGTGATTAAAGGAGATGTTAACTTTGTTCTGTTATGCATATCCTGCTTTAATATTTTGTGACAATCAGAGAATAGGAACAGGAAGGCCAGTCCTAAGGTAGTTACAAATATAGCACAAGATGTTTATCAGAACAAGCTCTATCTCCACAAAAAGATACCAGGCAGGAAACTGTTAATACTTTGCATCAATGGCTAAAGTAATTGAAGGGGAAGGTCTCCATTGTCTTTGCTTTTATTGAATGGATGTGATGTTTACAGCTGATTATCTTCTCAAAATGTTCAAATACTACTAGTTCATTTGAATGGTCTATGTTTACAGCACAACATTATGGTCTTCCCCTAACATACACATTTCAAGTGGGTGAGCTTGGCATGAAACAAAGCAGAATGTTTTATTTTTCTTCTTCCACAACACTTGGGTGTTTATACATTGTTATGATCTCTTATTCCCCCAAGTGTTCTTTAAAATCACTTTGAGGGCTTAAAAGAAAATTTTCTTTACGGTTATTTGATGGAGCTGCAGATTTCCTTTTCTGGCTCTAAATTGCCAAGTAGCTGCAAACCTGCTAGGTGGTTTTATGACATGCCTGGTCTTCCTTCGTGGCATCATTCTCAGTCTGTGTTACACATAAGATATGGGAGATGGTTCTAGAGGTGGAAATGCTGTTTTCAGGAAGACATAGTATAAAGCCTGTATGCACAGTACTGCTGAGTCTTGTTGATTCATTGTGATCCTTCACGTAGGGTGTACTTTCTACATGACCCAACTGCCATTTCTGTGGCACAGTTTTACACATAGAAAAAGTCTTAACTCCTGGGGAAGTCTGGAGGATTTGAAAAGTTAAAAACAAATCTGAACAAGGCTCTCTTATAGTCTGACATCATAACACCGTATGTGTAGCCACATGGTTTTAGTTCAGTTCTTCAGAAATCTGGCCTGTGAATTTTAAATGCTTAAGCTTGTTGCCTGGGTGCTAGGGCTGGTGGGAGAAAGGAGGCTGCAGAGGAGAGGTGGGAATTTCCTGATTTTTAGCTGAGTATGGAATAGTGTATACTGAGGCTGAGTGAGCCTCTTTCTTAAATGTCCCTTTTCAGACTTTAAAATATAAAAGGAATCTAGATTGCTGCTAAACAAATCATTCATTAGTATAACAGGATGGAGCACAACCAGTGCCCTCAATCTGCAAAGGCCACTGTCATTTATTCCAGCATGTGAAAGTGTATAAGTGTACTCTTTCTGGAATGCTGTCAGCATATGAAGCCTCTAAACTGGTTTTGACACACTACACTAATATTTCAAGCATAAAGCTGCCATGTGTATCCTAACAAGTAGCTCTTTTTATATTTATTTAGCTGTAGCAGTTGCTCTTCTTTTTGTGTTTAAAGTTGCTATATAGCACATCTTGTTGCCCTGAATATTTATCCCTTGATTTCATTTCACAGCAAGCTATCTTGCTTCTCTGTTTCCCACACTCTGAATATTCATTTCTTGCTTTAAGCCAGAGGATTATGCTCCAGTCAGGGGTATGCTTCTTTTTAGCATTCCAAATCTTTCTGATTCATTCTTTATTTTGGCTCTTTTTGCATGTGTTTCACCTTAAAATCAGCTTTTGAATTTTGTGTGTTGAATCAAAAGCATAAGAATGGGTCATTTTTGTTTGCCTCTTGACATTAGCCATGTTAAGGCTGTGGGGTTTTTTGAGGAAACATATACATCAAGCTTATCATACTGCATACTAAAGTTCAGTAAGTACATCCTTCTACAAGTCAACACTCTGAAGTGAGAAAAACAGTGAGTATTTATTTTTCTCAGCATGCTTTTCTTTTTTTCCAATGCTTCTGTAACAGTCACTGCTCTTAAGTTTCCCTTTGGAGACTGAGCTGGGTAGAGATGTCCATGCATCAGGGACTTTACAGAACTAACCCTGACAGCATAGAAAGAGCAGAGCCACTGCATCAGTCTTGGAGAGAGCAGCAGCCACAAGCATGGCTCAACTGGCTCTGCTTTGCCAAAGCCCATATGTTTTCCAGGAAAGTGTTCACACTCGCTGTTAACGCAGAGCAGTTAGATTGTTCATCTTACCATAGTGTAGGTGTGTGCCACCTTCAGGAGCTCCGTGCAGCCCTGAGCATCTCCAAAGGAGCGAATCCCCAAGCAATTAGAAGGATGGAGCTGCTTCATGAGGAAGTTGCAGCATACCTCAATAACCTGGGATAGCTGGAGAAGACAAGCTGCAGCTAGCAAACTTTCTATAGTGTCTTCCTTCAACTCTAGAATACCTGTGTAGTTTGCATATGGGGGGAAAAAAATAGTTGTCAGTCATTTTATTTGTATTTTTATTACTTGACAGCTTCCCACTCCCCAATTATTCTTTTTATTTGAAAACTTGGAAGTGTCCTGTGATTCACAGATTCACTTTACTTTCTTGCTGAAAGAGTCTATGAATATATGTTTTAACAGACTTAAAGAATTTGGTGAGTTTTGAATAGAGTGATTGGAACATTTTAGTTGGATCATTAACAGTATTAGATCTGACTTTGCCTGAAAAAAACCCCGTGTAATTAGAGGAAAACCTTTTCTAAAATTAATATATTAATGCATAAAAATACCAGAAGTTTATATTACACACAAGAATTTTAATTTTAAAAGCTAGGAAATGCCAGCAGCGTGTGCAGGAAACCTAATTTCTTCCATCGTGTACTTCTCTATTTAAATTTTCAATTAAATTAATGCATGGCATGAGAGTTTTATAATGTTCATAGATAGATTGGAAGGTGTTAATTTAATAAGATCTCCCATCCTTGCTGCTCAGTGGATGGCTCATTTCCCTGGTTGATACACAGCACTATAGTCCTATTCTGAAAAAAGAACTGTGAGGGGTTAATACATGTCTCAGCTTAACATGAGAAGGGTGGTATTGGGAGACTGTAGTTAAAATTATCATCGGAGTAGAGCTGTGGAAGTTTTCTTGTTCAGAGCTCACTTCTGATTTATTTCAGCAGAATATGTAAACATTTCTGAAAGTTATAGCTCTCATCTCTGAAAGTCATAGTTGTATTTCATTATCTAGGAGAAAAGTAGTACTCAGCTTAGAGGTTTGGTTATCATCACATAAAACCTGTGACAGAAGCAGTAGAAAATCTTAATTTTCCATAGCAGTCTTTATCTTAGCACAATCCCATCTCTTCCTGATGCTGTTTGCTCTGTAACTTAAACAATACCTTCCAAATTCTGCAAGGAATGAGGAAGGGATGGGAGGGTGCAGAGTAGGGCGGTGTTCAGGGTTTGTTTTTCAGCATGCACATCAGAGCATTTACTGAATGTATACAGCAAAATTAGTGCATGTTCTTGTAAATAAATATTACAATGTAATGCCTCAAAGCAAAGAGGGAATCCTGATTTCACAAGGAAATTTACACTGTTTTATAGTCTGGTGTTTGGTTTTGTAGTCTTATGTATGTTTTTTCATATGGTTTTGCATTAAGTAACCTGAAAGAGATGAAATTTAATGGAGTGGGATTGTTTTGAGATACATGTGGATAATAAGCAGCCCACCGCTCTGCTTCTTTGTGCTTGTACTAATCTATTTCCTCAGGTAATGTATGCTAATTCAGTGGCACAGTATCACTGCATTATAGATGTTATTCAGCATTCCCTCTTGCACCTGTGTTTATCCCCTTGGTTTGTACCCACAAACAGGGTCTATTTTGTGTACAGAGACGTGTTTTTTGATCTGGCTTGTAGATTGCTTAACCTTCTCAAGATAATCACTCTTTATGCAAGTCCAGTGAAGTGTCTGAACTAGCAGATGAAGTCTCTGATTTGTAACAGTTATGCTAATTCCAGTATAGTGAATATAATGGGGTCTTTGTTTACTTGGATCTTTGTAAAAAAGACTGTACAAGTACCTATAGATACCTGTGGTATATATTCCAACCTCCCTGTCTCCATATTGACATTGCATTCTTTCATTCAAAAACAAACAAGCAAATGTCCTGTGTGGGACACCAGTTGACAAGGACCTAGCAACTGATACTGATACTAGCAGTTAGCTGGGAGGATGCATCAGTGTACGAGGAAATATTCATAAATTCAGAAAGTTGTTAGTCTGGTCAGTAAAGTGTTGTTACTTCCTGGGACAGTAATTTTCTCCTTTTGAGATATGGGCTTTTTTTGTTTGTTATAGAACTGCACAACTTGGTGGGGGGAAAAGGGTTTCCCTTCATCTCTCTGGCTGGAATAGTTGCCATCTGCATTGAGAGTCTTCCCAAGTACCACAACGTGCATACTTCCAGAATCCTCAAAAGTTTTGATTGATCTGGGTCTTTCTAATTGAAATATGTACTACCAGAGCAATCATGTTCTGCAGTGTTTTTCCCTTCTTCACTGTAGAGCAGATGGAAGGGATTTCATAGTTCTCTGGCTTGGTATTTTTGAGTCTGGTTCAACCATTTCAGATTCAGCAATACAGGGGTAAATGTTGAAAACGGGAGAAAATAAATTAGGGAAAAATACACATACAGCATTCTGGTATTAAAATATTTCATTATGGTAAAATAATTTTTCAAGATAACATACCTAAGCCTTTTTCAGAATGTGGTGGCACTTTTGCCTGGTAAAAGGTGCTCTACTCATGGGTCATATCCCGTTTTCCTCTGATTATTTCTACTCAAGAGCTTTGACCAAGTCAAGTAGCTGCCACCCCAGCAGACCATTTCTCTAGCTACCCATGAGAGGAAAGTTCATGGTACACTCTTCTGTGTCACTACATGAGTCAACAGTCAAAATACATTCTTTTCTCATTAAAATTCCTGAAATAATTTGTGTCTAGCTCAAGACAGATGTCCAGTATGAATTTATATGTCAACTTCTGCATATCTTCTAGAATAAGTTATTATATAAGCCAGTAATGTTTATTCATTCTCTCTAGAGAAAGGTTTATATCACATATGCATGATTTATGCACTAGAATTAAATGGGAGAAGTGACAATTATGCATGCACTGGATAGATTTTATCTTCCTTTACAACAGTGATGTGGGTAATGGAGGAAAAATTACCTGTGTAGGCATAGCGCACCAAAGCTTTCAGTGCATCAGGGTCTACTCCCTCCATCTTGATCTCCTCTTGTTTTGCTTCACGCACATCATTAGTAAACATTGCAGCAAAATAATCAGACACTGCACTGAGGACCAACCTTGAAATAAAAGCATTTTAGGAGGACTTCAAATCACTTCATAAGCTCAATAGCAAGCATGAAATTCAGTACTATTGTATAATAAATTATGTGTGCATTAGAAACATATTTTGCATAGTATTCAGATCTTATAGCAGTGAGCAAATAAAGCTAAAGGTAATTAGTAATCTAATTTTCTCCCATAGAAACTACTTGCTGTAGTTTGACAGCAGCAAGAAGGGAAGATGGGCAGTAACAATGGTTCATATTTGAATTTCTTTCTATTTGAAATAATGATTATGAAATGTTGATCACATAATTTATTCTGTTAGCTGATGTCCTAATTATAGTAACTGTTCTTTCATAGCTGAACAGGGTTGGCATAATTGAAGCAGCATTTGGAAATTTCAGACTTTGAAGCCATGTAAACAATACTGGGAAATGTACCTATGAGCTGGAATCTTTTGGTCTCCAACTATAAGTAGAACATCACACAGCTGCTTCTGCTGCAGGTAGTTCTCCATCTTGCGGAATGTTTGCTCTGCATGGTTTGTAGACTGGAAATATTCATCTGAGCCGTTGGTGTTCATTCCAAGGAGTGAGCTGGTGGTCGTTGACAGCCTGCAATGGGAAGCAGCAGTGTGATGAGTGGAGCAGTACAAATACTGATTATGCTGTTCATATAATTTTTGTCCAAATGGCAGTACAGAAATGTTTAATTTTATAAAGCTCTTATGATCCTGGTCTTACTTTGCCTTCCATTTTTTCCCTGTTTGGTATCTGCATATAAATTGTAGTTTACTACAGTTAACTGTAGTAGGTGGGGGTGCAGAGTTTTCTAACTATACTGGGTGGTGCTACAGAGTTTTCTACTTCTTATCAGCTTTGTGTCCATGACACAGTGTTTGCACAGCACTGACATGACAAATGTAGCTTTCTGACCATTCACAAACAGAATAGGTGAAAAATAAACCGATTTTCCTGTGCACCAGTAGCTAAAATATCTTGTGGTATGAAATTTTAGATGTTACAGGTCTTTAGGTCTTGTTTCTCTTCATACTTTGTACATTAAATTACTAAGCAGGAACAAATCAGAAGACAATTTGACAAGGGCCATATAATTCTAGACAAATTACTAAACTAAAAGCTGATGAAAAAAAAAAAAAAAAAGTAATTTCTCTGCCTTTTCATGGAAATATAAAAGTATTCCTCCCACTACAGAACTGTTAGCTGGCCCACTTACAAATACCCATACTGTTTTTTAAGATATCATTCCTTGCTGCCTTTTAATATGGATTATGTTAGGTTCAAACATCTTTTTGATATTTTCTAAGAAAAATATCTATTTTTATATACATGTTATTTTAGCAAAGTAATAATGCATTTGTTTATACGTATGTTTATTGCTTATCTTGAGAATGCTGCAATCTTCACTGTTTTAGTTAAAGATTTTTTTAGAAAAACATTTTTCAGTTTAAGATCATATATTATTAAAATGTAAAGCACCTATTCTTTAAAAGTCCAAGCCCAGCTAGAAAATAATGGCAGCTGGTTAACTAAATTTACTGGTTGTCTTTGATTCTGTTAATGCATCTTCACAAATGATTAGGAGAGATAAAATGTCTTCATGGAATTAATGTATTACATTTAGCAGAATATTGGATTACATTCAGAATTGAACATTTAGTTCAGAAAATACAGAAATAAAAATGGGTAAATCAGGTTGAATCAGTAATGCTTTCAGAAAATAGATACAAGTGAGATCATACATTTTCAAAGATCATACCACATTAAATAGCTAATCAGAATTCCAGGGAAAGAAATAGAAATCAAATTATAATGTAATGCTGAATTGAGACACAGTTGAGTTTTCTGTCCCCTTGGCAATAGTGCTTTTCAGAACAGTCCAGAACAATATCTCAGTGGGTATGGCTATGATGTGTCTGGGTTTTTCAAGACGTATCTCCTTTTTCCGTCTGAAAATCTATAAAAATGAAGTATTCTAGATTTCTGTACTGCATTTATAGCCATCCCACAGCCTGTTTGGAATATGGCATCTTTTGGGCACTGGTATATGTCAAGAACCTTAAGCTTCCCAGTGTATCTGATGCCTTTCAAATGCACCAGAGTTCAAAATGCTTATTCAGGTCTTACCCGGCTGACTCACTGGATGTGTTACTGTCTGCAGATCAAGGTGTTTTCTGGTATAGCAGAGGCATGTCAGCTCTACAGTATGGTTGTGTCACCTGATGCACCTGAAATCCCAGGTGTGCTGTGTGTGTGCACAGTAGGTGCAGGTGTGTTTGTCTGGGCAATCTCTCACACTAATTGCAAACACACTGAGATACACCAAATCAGGGCAATAAACTCTCTAGCTTTCTTTTGAAGCTCTATAGTACAATTTCAATTTTTTCCCCTTTTTGTTTGTTTTTTAAGAAAAAGGGGCAAATAAAGTTCACCTGTAATCTGTATCCTTTGTACTTCACAGCTTACAAAAATTAATTTGTCTCAGTGAGTTTAATGACTATAGTTTTGTGTTTGTTTTCCTTCAGCGCTTCATTGAAAATGAAGAAGCTGCAAAATTGGATTATATGCTCATTAGTTTTCCACCGGCTACTTGGTGCTAGTCTCATACTCTATAACATTCATGTTTTGCTATTACCTCTTAACCTTTAGCATTTTTCAGAAGATTATTCTTTCAAAACCACCTATTCCAGGTTCATTATATCCATTCTAAGTGTTGTATTTAAGTATGTATTACATTTCACTTATCCTTAATGCTTGGAGAAATCAACTAAAATAGTATTCAGCCCACCCATATTGCAAATGCACAGTACTAGTTTCTTGAAATAAATAAGTCCCCCTAGCGTGTCTATAGTTGTGGTTAGAACAGTCATTTTTAAGCCGCAAATATTTAGAAAGGGACTTAAAATCTAATAATTTCCTTTACTCCTGAGTACTTTTTTCACATGTTTTGTAGAGAGGCCATTAACTACAGCAGAAATACCAATAACATAATTATTGCAAACACAAAGGTCTTCAGAGACTGAAAAATACTGGAAGCAAAAAGAAGTGGTCCATTACTTTGTTAATATTATAATTGGTGGTTTATCTTCAGCAGCTGATTCAAAATACTACCTATAGTGTATAATGGAAGGGCAAAATTAAATTTAAAGATAAATATATTTTCTCCTTAGTGTAAGACTGTCACTGCAGAGAACTCACATATTAACCTCAGAATATAGAACCACAAATCAGTGAACTAAAGAAGATGGTAATTAAAGTATCTTAAAGAAAGAAGTCAGGTCCTTGAGTCTGATGTCTTTATGTTGAATTATAATAGGGGATGCATGAATATGTCTACCTGTCATCTCTTGTTCTGTGTGGTATGGGTTAATGTGCTGAAAACAACACATAAAGAGAACTCAACCTTCGTGTGAACCTGCTCAGAAAGAAAATATGCAGAAGATGGAGAAATATGTATTTTCTGTAAAATGTTTACAAGTTTGGTCAAACAAAATTGATATGTTGAGTGATAAAAGTTTCCAAAGGCCCTGTGGTGGCCGAGAAATTAGTTTTTCCACTCAGGTGGGGAAATTACCAATGAACTGACCTAAAAAATCAGAAACCCTAGTTTCTTAATGTCATTTTTGTGTTAGTGTTCACTAGGATGCTGAGTTGCATTAACACCATTAGAATTAGTAATAATGGCTTAAGGACGTGGATTAGCCTAGAGAGAGCAGACACAAATCTATATTTAAATGATTTCAAAGTAGCTGAGCTCTACAAATTTCATCTTAGGTAGAGAGCCAAGGGAAATAATTTCAGAGTTTTCCTGTAAGGATTTGCTATCCTGCAAAGTTAGTGAAAATATGGTAAGTGAAAATATGGTACCATTTTAAAAAGAAGAAGCATGAAATTTTGAGACAGGCAATATAACGTGAAAACTTGAAGAAATAATCAAAAAACATTAAGCATCTAGACAAAACCAGGAGATAAATACCAGTCAGCATGGCTGTTCAGAATGAATCATGTCATAACCATTTTACTTTTTCAGAAGGTTACAAAGCTTACTAGGAGAAAAACACTAGTTGTCAGAAATCATTTTGACTTTTGGGTGACTTCTGACACTACTTCACATGTCATTTTCAAAATGGAGCTAGGATGGTATGTTGTAAGTGTAACAAATATGAGAGATATAAATAACTTGTATAGGTTCAAATGTATCAGGGATTCACTTTCAAAGGCAGACAATGTTCTGAATGCATTGCAGGAAAATTCTACTTCTGATGCTGCTCCATATTTTTATTATAGACAAGGATATGATAGAAAGAAGGTTATGTCAATATGTGATAGCGATTCACAAACATTTTGGGAACAAAATCTATATTGACAGTCTTCTTTGCCTTAGTCCTTACTGTATTGATGCTTTCATATGAGTACTAACCTAAATGAAACACAGGTTAAGAAATGACAGCTGAGGTAATAGGTAGGTTATACCGGACACCAAGCAAGCTGTGACCTAAAAGTGGTGTTGTGGATTTAAAAGTATCATTTTTTCTTTGGTCAGGAGAACCAGTGTGATGAGTTACATGATTCGTTCCAGGCCTACAATTCTTTAAATTTCTGAAATATGTTAAAATTATCTTCTGTCTTCATAAAGTACTCTTCATTAATCAGCACAGCACTCTTCATCAATCAGTAGATAAAGGCTAAATTCAGTTTCCCTTATTATTTAATTAGAACGTGATAAAACATAAATGCTATTTATTTGCACTGTCCTTTTTAAAATTCAGTATGTTCTTAGAATGCCTCATTATGTGTGCCTATGGGCAAAAAAGCAGAAGGTACTCCTGATGAAAAGGAAGCATAGAAGTGTAATATTTCATGAAAACAGGTGAAGGAATGCAGTATTTGATTTTTTTGTTATTGTTAAGGTTATTATTTGTACTATGGTGACCACATCACCTTTGAACGTGTGTTGAATGTACCTCTTTAACCTGCTATAATATTTGTGAAATTCAGTAACAGTTCAGTTATCAGAGTCACTTAAAGATTTTGATTTTGGATAACCTTTTTTCTGCACTGGAAATCATAGCAGCCATAAGCAGCAAACTGGATTCCAGTTAGAGACATTAGACATCCCAAGGACTTTATCATAGCTGAAAGCACCAGTGTGACTTCAGATTTGTGGCACTCTGTGTGTGCTTTAGTGGTGACAAGGCATGAGGCAAAATTGCAAGTTAATCAGTTCAGTTTGTTTGTGCAGCAACATTTACAATGCAACTCATCTTTTTTTTTTTCTTTCTCATTTGTTTCTGCTTATTCAAGGAAACTGCGGTCAGCCCCCACGCAGGCAGGCCCTTTTCTATGCAGCTGTCTGAGCTCTGACCCCCTGTCTGTTGGGCAGTGTCACGGGGTTGGAGGTGGAGAACTGCTGTTTTTCTATGTGAAGCCATAGGACCGTAGCATCTGCTAGAGATAAACCACATCAGTTGGCTGAGAAGTTAGAAAAATATTTCTGTTAGGAAGCCATTTCTGAACACTGATAAAATAGTGGTGGAGTTGATGCACCTGCGTTAATTGCTTGCTGATAGAATTTTGCCACATCAGTAACTGTC